AATTTGAACTACAATTCTAATTCTAATTAAACTACTTGGAAATCAGCAAGGGTTCTTGCTATCAAAGCCTTCATAATCACCATTCTTCAATTTAAACTCCCTTAAGCATGAACTCTTGGCAAATCCAAAATCTAATTGCGAATTGGTCTTGAATTAATACGCTTGTGATTTTTTCCAATTTTTCCTTTTTTCAACTTCAAATAGTGATTAAAATTACTATGAGAGGAAACTCCACCAAAAATTTAGTTTGTCTCCATCTTTTTAAGATCATCATTAATTTAACAATTAGACTATATATTTTTAATCTAATTAAATTATAAAATAAAATTTAAACTTAAAAATCTCAAAATTAATTAAGAATATAGAACAATTAGGTTTAGGGGACTTTCTAACCATAGTCAAATTAGAAATTAGCTTTTGGATTGAAAATTAAGATTGTGGATTAATTTAAGATATAATTCCTAAGAATTAGAAGAGAAATTCTACTAAAATTATAGTTTTATTACTAAGAAAAAGATTTAAAGTAATTAAAAAAAATCATAGACCTTCTAAACTTAATATTTTTTTTTCTTTTGAGTTTTAAAATAGTCAATCAATTTATTAATTAAAAGTATCCATCTAATTAATAATCTAAAGATATGATTAAAGTCATAATTAATTAAAAAAAACTAATTTGGATCTATTAATTAGTTATATTAGCATTAAAATTAGTAAAAATATGTTAAAAATTACAAAAAAAATTGTAACTAACCATTGGAGCTTTAATTATACTCACAATCATGTTCAATATGATATCGGCTATCTTTTTAAGAGTAGCTCATAATAGATTCAATATAGTATTCGGTGTAATCACAACAATTGACCTTGAACTAAATGATGACTATTGATACACTACCAAAGAACAATCTAATACTTGCTTTGATACCAAAGAAACAAAACCAATCTATCTCAAAAATCCAAGATCCTTCTAATCTACAATAACATAAAGCCTCATCACAAAGGAAGGTAAAATAGACTAGAACAAAACTAAACAGAATAGGACATGAAAGACAAAACTGAGCAAATGGAAATAGAATAAAATAAAATTAAATATAAAGATGCAAAATCAATTTTTATTAAGAAAAATGATTTAAAGCCATACCTAACTAGATGCCCTAAAAGACCTTGATTAGTCTTATTTATACTTTATTCTATTACCTTGGATTTTCTAAAATATTCTTAGATGATGGACCACATTTAGATAATCGATTTAAATTCTATTTAGAAGATTCTACAAAGAGCCCCACCTAAATAACCACTCTAAGCCATTTCTAGAAGGTTTTATAGTAGGCTTTACCTAGATAACCACCTTAAGCTATTTTTAAAAGGTTCTACAGTGGATTCTATATAGTGCACTAATCTAGCTCCAATTCTTGAAACTTCTATAATTTTTCAAACATGGTTCCAACTATCTATTCGTATGTATCAACAATATAATTATCTTATCTATACCTTGTTACACCATCATTTATTGAAAGGTGCTATACATCCTATGATTATATATAAAAATCACAAAAAATTAGATGATATGAAATCACAAAATCAAAAGAAGATAATGATATATTTCAATGAGTTTTGTAGTGATTTAAAATCTGAGTTGACATAAAATATCAATGGATTTCATCACCAATTTGTTGCCATTAGCTATATTTGATGCTATGTACATTATTGTGCATCAACTTACAAAAATGACATTTTTTGTCCCATATAAAATAACAATTTTTGGAGAAGAAATGACAAGGCTTTGTTTTGATAATATATATATATATATATATATATATATATATATATATATCAATATCATGGCCTACCTAATGACATCATTTTTTATGAAGGATCTCAATTTATAACAATGTTTTGGAAATCCTTTTCCAAGATATTAAAGGCAAATATCAAACTTTCTTCTACCTTCTATCTTCATACAAATGGTCAAAGAAAACAAATCAATCAAGTTTTGAAGCAATATTTGTAATGTATTATTAACTATGAGCAAAATGATTAGACTTCATATTTATTATTAATGGAATTTAATTATAATAATACTCTTCATGCTTTGACTTATCAAACACTATTTTACTCTAATTATGATTATTGTCCAAAGCTTGATTTATTAAGTACATCAAAAGATAATTTTTTTTAAATTTAAATTTTCATAAGTATATGTATATAATCTTAAATAAATGATATATGAAATATAATAAAAAGATTTAAGTATGATATTAAAGAACAAATAAATCATATAAGAAAAATACTAAGACCTATATTTTTAAAAAGATGTATTAATAATACCACATATACTAAATAATGTTGATTTTAAACCATTTATTTTTAATTTATGAGTACATAAAATATTAAATAAGATTAGTAAAAAATATAACACAAAAGTGATTTGTACAAGACTTTGTTTAAAAATGATAATTCTTTATAAAAATCAAATAAGAACTAGTATTATATATTTTTGATAAAAATTAATGATAGTAATAATGATGAAATTAAAATAAAACTTATAAAAATCATTTTCATGTATGTTATGATATTATGTGATATTTTAAAAAATAATTACTACAATTACATTATGCTCAAATCTACATATTCATGGCTAGTTTATAAAATGCATTATATTATATAAAATAAAAATAAAAATAAAAATATTTATATTAAATATAAATCTAAAAAAAATAAAAATAATAAAAAAAACAAAAAAGAAATCATAAAAAATTATTTACATTTTTTATAACAAAAATTAAAATGAAATACATATTATACAACTAAATAAATAAATAAGAGTAAATTTATTATATTATTATTTTTAAAAATATCTTTAAATTTAAAATAATTAATTAATGCTATGTTATTTTTATTTTTACTAAAAAAGACATAATCTGTTTTATATATATATATATATATATATATATATATATATATATATTAAATTTTATTTTTTAAAAAAATATTTAAAGATAATTTCTAAGTGTTTTGATAAATCCTTGAATTCACTTCCACATAAATATTCAAAATTTATTTATATTAGCACAACACAAATAATCTAAAGAAGTATTGGTCTTTCTCTTTCTCACTCATCTCCTCCTTCTAATGCAAATAATACTTTCCTTCCTTTTTCTTATATATATATCTATATAGATATTTTGCTTGTGCGTTTGAAGCGGGGGGGGGGGGGGGGGCGTTCCACTGCTGGCGAAGATCTCTCGGTAGTCTCGTTGAGCAAAAGTTTCTGGGGAGATCGTCAAAGGGAAAATGGCATTGCTTCAAGCTTTGATTATGTTTGATATCTCTCTTTCGTTATTCGCATCAGCTTCTGTGAAACCTGCAGGTCTTCGTTGTAACATTCAACTCTCCACGAGTATTTAATTTCCTTTCCAGTTATTAGATCTTTCCTGGCGTTGTGGTCGTAACTCGGATCAACATATAACTCATTTCTTCTTCCTGACGTTTATATTCCTCAGTTGAGGATAGCCAGTATTCAACAATTTATAATAGGACACGCACGTTGAAGTGAGGTTTCAAATCTTTTGTGTCATTGCAGAGAGCGGCGTTTAGTGCAAGCAATTGTGAACAGCAAGCAGGAATCTCTCTCTGCTCTTTTTCTCCTGTCCTGCTATTGAGGCTTATTCAGTTCTTGACAGACCTCAAAGGGCTAGACCACAGTTATCACAGAAGGAACATCCTCTTGCAGGTCTGAAAGTTTCTCCAACACATACCCATACCCACAGAAATCTATCTATCCATCTATCTATCTATCTTCTTCTTCCCATTCTTTTGCATCTTTCACCTCAAGCTTGTTTTTAGAGTCACACCAACTGGAGCTTTGAAACTAACAATTGAAGGAATGCTGTGTCAGACACAGTGCTGCAAACCAGAGAGGCTGATGAGTTAGCAAGTCGACTTGCTTCTGATTAAAAACTGTTTCCCTTTCTTGCCGGATCAATCGCCTTTCCTACCAGAATGACATCAGGTAGCGACAGAAGTTGCAAATTTCAAACGTCGTTACGTCCTCAGTTGCGGAGAACCTCAGAATGAATTACTTAATGTGTTCATATGCCCTCATCCATGAATTCCTAGATATGTTTTCACATTCTAGAGTTCACTGGAGCTGCTTTCATCTTCCCCACCCAATCTCATCAATGACGCCGGCCAGACCTTGGTTGAAATTGTTGCTGGAGAACTACTCTATCAACCCATCTCTGAACCTAAATTGTTGAGTTCTGTATGAGAAAAACGCTACTTTCCAGGTGAAGGTGGTTTAATCTGGTGTCGATGAAAATTGAAAAATAGTTTCTTTGCGGACTATGTGAGTGGTGTTTAATGTCACACCATCTTTCCACAACGGCAACTAACCGGTCGTTGATACATTGTGAACCATTTGAGATGTAGAGTGGTCATCTTAGCATATCACTAGGGCAGTACAGATTGTCAATTTACTCAATATATTTGAGGCTTCCTACAAGGCAAATCAGATGCTAAACATACTGAGAAATTTTGGTAATTCCTTCATTCTAATAATAAGATGATGTTTGGCGATCCTCCTAATTGTCAGTGGTGGGTCAAACTATATGGGATGAAGTCAACAACTTGAGAAAGGTCACCAACTTGCATTAGAATGTGGTGCCCTTTCCTCAAACCTAACTGAACCAAATTTTTGTCTTTGAAAAACTTCAGTGAAATATATCACCAATTTTCGCATTAGAAAACTAATCACAACCAAGTAAAACTTACAAAGTGAAAGTCCTCATTCACCACTAATTACGCTATATTCCACAACATTCCACAATTTTAATAAGAGATGCATCGTTCTATAAATCACATATGAGTTTTTTTTTTTTTTTTTTTTTTTTAATAATAATTTTAAGCTGGGCTGCCCGTCTGAATGCCCGGAAATCCAGAGTAGGTGGGAGGAATTTTCCCGAGGTCTGTAGCTGCCCCGCGAGCCACGATCGCAGCTTTGGACTCACCACCGCCATCGCTGTCCTCGCACTCTCGATCCTGTTGCTGCTCACGCGCAAGCTTCTCTTGCTCGCTCTCTCTCTCTCTCTCTCTCACACGCACATCGTGATGCTCTATGTGCATCGCTCGCCTTCTCCTTCCTCCATATCTCTAGTGTAAAGGGTTTCAGTGGAGTTTTTACGCTGCCGAATCAACCCCAGCACGGCGCGACTTGGTTGCGCAGTGGACATGATGTCGCGGAACCCTAACCGGGTTGTGCAGTGGAGGAGCGGAGAGGGCGCCATGGATCTGAAGGCGCGCGTTGCTTTGTCTTCGTTTATGTTTATGCTGTTGCTGTTTTCCCCCGCGCATGCGTTTTACTTGCCCGGGACTTATCTGCATCCGTATCACAAAGGGGACAAGCTGGAGGTGAAGGTTAACTCCATCACCTCCATCGAGACGGAGCTTCCTTACTCGTACTACAGTCTCCCGTTCTGCAGACCCCCCGAGGGTATCCACAAAGTGGCGGAGAACATCGGGGAGATGCTGATGGGTGACCAGATTGAGAATTCGCCGTACAAGTTTCAGATGAAGATAGACCAGAACGATTTGCTTGCGTGTGTCGCGCCTGCCATGACCGAGAACGATGTGAAGCACATCACTCAGCGAATTGATGATCTGTACCTGGTGAACTTGATTCTGGATAATTTGCCTGCGTCGCGGCTCATCAGGCAGAAGGATCCGAGCAACCCGTTGCGGTTGACAGGGTCGCCGATTGGGTTCAAGATCGAGGCCGACTCACAGCATTACATTTACAACCACTTGATTTTCAAGGTTTTGGTGCACCCTTACGACAAGGACTCTGGCTCAGGGGCTGTGTTAGGTACCGGGGAGGGTTTGGACACCATGCCCGTGGCAACGACGCAGAACCTGACGGGGACTTACATGGTGGTAGGGTTTGAGGTGGTTCCTTGCAGTGTTGTGCGCGATTCTAAGGCTGCGAGTAAGTTGAACTACCAGGATGCCCTTCCCCCGTCAGATTGTGATCCTAAGAAGCCTTACCAGCCCATCAAGGTGGGACAAGAGATCGTGTACTCATACAGCGTCCAGTTCGAAGATAGTTCAATCCGGTGGCCGAGCAGGTGGGACGCGTACTTGAAGATGGATGGAGCGCGCGTGCACTGGTTCTCGATATTGAACTCTCTGATGGTGATCTCGTTCCTTGCTGGAATCGTGTTCGTGATTTTCCTGAGAACGGTCCGGAGGGACTTGACGAAGTACGAGGAGCTGGACAAGGAAGCGCAAGTGCAGATGAACGAGGAGCTGTCGGGATGGAAGCTGGTGGTAGGCGACGTGTTCCGTGCACCCGAGAACCCTCAGCTGCTTTGCGTGGTGATTGGGGACGGAGTCCAGATTCTGGGAATGGCGGTGGTTACGATCCTGTTCGCAGCACTGGGATTTATGTCTCCTGCGTCGCGAGGAATGCTGCTGACCGGAATGGTTATGTTGTACCTGTTCTTGGGGATCATCGCTGGGTACGTGGCTTCGCGAATGTGGTACACTCTGAAGGGCTTGAAAGATGGATGGAGGCCGATAGCGTGGAAGACGGCATGCTTCTTCCCCGGGATCGCATTCACAATCATGACGAGCTTGAACTTCCTCTTGTGGTCACGGGGCAGTACGGGTGCCATTCCTATCTCTCTGTATTTCACACTGCTGTTTTTGTGGTTTACCATTTCGGTGCCTCTGACTTTGCTGGGAGGGTATCTGGGCGTGAAAGCGGAGCCAATCACATTCCCTGTCCGAACGAACCAGATTCCACGTGAGATTCCACCACAGCGTTATCCTTCATGGCTGCTGGTGCTAGGCGCGGGCACGCTGCCGTTTGGGACGCTGTTCATCGAGCTGTTCTTCATCATGTCAAGCATCTGGCTGGGGCGCGTGTATTACGTGTTCGGGTTTCTGTTCGTGGTGTTGATCCTGCTGGTGATCGTGTGCGCGGAAGTGTCAGTAGTTCTAACCTACATGCACTTGTGCGTTGAGGACCATCGGTGGTGGTGGAAGTCTTTCTTCGCATCTGGGTCGGTGGCGCTGTATGTGTTCCTGTATTCAATCAATTACCTGGTATTTGACCTGCACAGCCTGGCGGGGCCGGCGTCTGCGATGCTGTACGTGGGATACTCGCTGTTAATGGCAATCGCGATTATGTTCGCGACGGGCACAGTGGGATTCCTGATGTCGTTCTACTTCGTGCACTACTTGTTCTCGTCAGTGAAGATCGATTAAAGGATGTAGAAGTCTTATGCAATCAAGGCTGTGATTGTGTTTTGGGAGACGTGGTAAGCAAATGCAGCCTTGGGGATTGTCTATATGCCAGACTTGTGTAGGATGTGGGATCATGATGTAGCTTATGATTAGATTTTTGTTTTTATTTTGGTGGAGTTCATCTTCATCCCCGAGTAGGATTAGATAGGACTTCTTATCGGAAGCAGAACTTGTAAGAACAGGCCGGAAAGAGTGGGCGAACATTGTTCTCTGGCATGTTGTATGAAGAGGTCAGCAAATGGAGTTGATGATAAAATGAAAAAGAGGGCGGTTTATCTATTTCATGCACATGGGCTTTTTGGTTGAGGGTTGTTGCCTGAAAAGGTTTGAAGGGTAGTTGTTGTCAAATGTGTTGACAAGATATTGAGCTAGTGTTGCTAGTGTTTCCATTTGCAGCAGAAGGGTTGGTTGTGGCCATTTGGACAAGTTGTTGCTTGCATCTATGGTCTCGTCTGCTGCAGTGAAACTATATCTTGGATATTACGGTGAGGATGTGTTTTTTCAGGACCTCGAAGGTGGAGGTCGTCATATGAAATCTTGTTTCTTTGTGAAAGTTTCAGTCTGTCATTTTCTTTCATGCACTTTATTCTGAGAATGTGTGACATCACCTGGAGTTGGTGGCTGATTCACAAGTTTTAATCGACGCCGGAGTCTTTTAGTTCCTTTCTTTAGTAGTTGGGGCTACAATGGCTTTTATTTAAGTGTAACGGTTTATGCTCATTTACTTTTTCTTTCTACGGCATTACCTTTCGTTAGCTTGTTGAAATAAGCAACTCGGCTGGTGTAGCTGATGTACTAGTTTCCCGCCAGAAAGTTGAAGGATGGATTTGGAAGTTCATTATTAGGGATCTGTTTGGGTTGAAGTAATGGAATGCAACAAGGATTACTTGCTTGGCATTGAACAATATAATAATCTATACTTTGAAAGCTGGAGTAACTTAACTGCGGTACATTACGAGTTAATCCTTTTATCCAAATTTATCATCTTCCAGTCAATACGATACATTTTGTGCGCTCCAAACCAGCACAGAGAGAAACAATATAGAGTGTGTCGCCGTGGTGCGATGAACGGTGTTGTCGAGGCGCTGGTTAGCGGGGCAGGGATGCAAAGATTCGCTTGCAGGCTGTGCCAATGAGCTCGCATGAGTCCCGCTTTTCTCTGCCCCTCTCCGCAAGCTACACGTCCCTCCTCTTGTAGCCAGTGGGCTGCGGCCGAACTGGCCTCCATTTGTCTGAGGCCCAGCTCGTCATTTCGACACGGTGCAGAGCCCCTCCACGATCCGTCTCTCTTCGCTGAACAGAACGAAACGAGTAGCCTTACACACACAAGAAAGCTTTTCCACCTGGCTGACGGACAATCTCATCCCTCCGTTTGCCCTTCTTTCTCCACCTCGCTCTCTGCCATCTTCGTTCGTTGCCTTCCGGCTTGCTGTCGTCCTTTCAATCCCTCTCTTTCTTTTTCTCTCTCTCTCTCTCTCTCTCTCTCTCTCAACTTGGGGTTCTAATTCTCAAGCTGTGAATGCAGCGCTTGTTGTGTTGTACGCATGCCTGCGTCCTACCTGTGGGGGGTGGCTGCGAAGCCTTACTCGCTGTGGGCAGAAAGCGTTGTTGGGTGAGTCGTCTTCCAGTTGTCAAATGTGGCAGGTGTAGCGGTAGTTCGTACCTGTATGCGGCTATAGGCTTTGAAGGATGAGGGTGATGTTGGGTTGCGCAAGACAAGAGCTCAGTACTACGTGTTGCTGAGTGGTTTTATATGCACGTGTTGGTTAGTGGTTAGGAAATTGGTCTTAGCATTTTACAAGACTGTTGGTTTGTTCTAATTCGTAGAAATTGATCGAAAGCAATGAGCTGCGTTGAATGCTTCTGGAGAGCACTTAGTGTATTGAATTCTCGGTAACTTATTCAGCACTGCAAGGAAGCATTGTAACTTGTGCAATATTCTGTTAATCGGTCACTGGTATATTAACAATGGTGGTATGTGTGGCACCGTTTTAAGATTCATTGAAGATTTAGCGCAAGTACTTTTTCTTAGCTTGTTTGGGGTGCGATTTTCAAAAAAATTCAATTCAGATTTTTATATAAGCTGTCTTTGGATTTAAATTTATTCCAATTGCCTTTAAATTTTGTGCAGTGATATCACTGCTTATCCACCATCCGAATGAGGATATTGAAGTGAAGCAAGCAACAAGTGACGTTCTTGTCTGTCCGGCCAGGTCTAGCACCTCATTTCATTGTTCCTATCGAGTGAAGTAAGCTAATAACGATAGTATTGAGACCCTTTCCATGATTGCGAGGCTGATCGTTGGTGAGATTTGATGTGTGAGAGGGGTTGATCCACTGCCATATTCTAGATCTAATACTTGCGTAACACATAACACGAGGTGACTTTGAAAACTGCATCCGAACCTTCCCTTGGTTTTTAGTTCTGATTTGATTTTAACTTACGAAACGAAAACGATCCTTCCGACTTTCAAGAATATAGTATAGAAAGTAGTCAAGAAAGCGTCCTTTCTAGTTCAGAAACGTCTTTTTTGATAACGAACGGTTCAACAGCACCTTTGCAGAAATTCTGAAGGCTTACATTGTGATATATACATGATGAACATTTTCCTAATTGTGGCAATTATGTAATTCAAAGTGACTGCATTTTGCAGTGATGAATTTCGATTAGGAGAGGAGCATTTATCTAGCTATGGCTTCAATGAAATTGGTGTTTGTTACACCAGCTGGACCTTCTCAAAATCACTGTTTCAGTATCTGCATTTCGCCCATTTCTCTTCCCAGATGGAGGCAAAATAGGCGGGGTCTTTGCTATACGTGGCTAACTGGACACGACAACGGTCCTGGTATAAGGACAGTTACTCAGGCAGGGCTTGGCAGATATTCAGGTTCTATTCACGGGAGCAGGTCTAAGAAGACATGGAGGCGAAACCCTTCTCGAATTTCACAGGACGAGAAAAATGTAAAGGAACTGGTAAGCAACATGCAATTATTTGAAGGTATTCCTAATTGAAGTTTTATTCACGAAGGCGCTTCAGTCCGCGAATATAATAGCTTCTTTTGAGAGTATTCACGTTCCATAAAGATGTGGCGACAGAATTTTTGGTATTGCTATGCCTTGTGTAAATCTCCGGCACATTATTTGTGAATGTCACGCTGTTATCCTTTAACATGCTTCTTTGATATTTACTTTATTTGCTCATTTAAGTGCAAAATTATGCAGAACAAAGTAGAAGAGAATGGTGCACAGTTGCGAGGAGCGTATGGAGATGATGTCAATGACGATAGCTCAGTTCAATGTAGCAACGAGTGTGAAGTTAGCGAGAAACACATGGTTGATCAGTTTCATTCAGATGGAACACCAGAGAGTAATTTGTATGAAACGCAGTTTAGTTACTCTGACCCCACAATCGATCAAGGGGAAGAAAGTAACAATTCTAGTGAGGAGCATGATGACCGTATACTTGAGACAGGAGGCGATCAGTCTGATGCAAATTTAGAGACTTCAAGTGTGCTACCAGAAGACCATAATGTTGACAGAATAGTTGTATTGGACGGCAGCGGTTACGAAACACAAAGTTTCGTCAGTTCAGATTCCGAGGACTCTGAGGTCCAACAAGATTATGACAAAAAAGCAGAGAGTAGAGGAACTGTAGACGATGAAAATTTGAAGATCACAAACTCATCGGTGCTGAAAGTAAAGGACACAGAAACAGCCAGCTCGCGAAATATTATGCAGGCCTTCAGGAAGCAAACTGCAAATGAGGATTATGGAGAATCTGAAAGACCTAGACCCGGTATTTCGAAACCGTCAATGCAACGACGAAGCAGCCGGGGCAGGAGGAAAAATATGCCGAGTCAAAGTTCAGATGAAATACCTGTTATGCTTTATCCAGAGGAGGCTGCGCCTGTTGCAGCAACTATACTGACAAATCCTGAGGTATTCATGAATCCTAGTGAAGTTTTCTCTTCAAATTCAGATAATGTTGAAGTTGAAGAAAAGGCCAGCAAACTGCCATCGAATAGGTCCAGGTTGAAACCGTACGATCGGAAAGTCACGACTCGCGGAAAGCAGCAAAAGCTACAAATAAGAGGTGAGATTTTGTTTACTTTTCTGGCACCATTTGTCATTAGATCAACGCAAGAGCTTAGTAGTAGCCTTTATTTAGCATCTTAATTTTATGTTTGATTTCATGTTGGTAAAGTGTTTGACTAAGGTACGGGCACGTGTGCTTTTTGCAACCAGTTTGATTATATTCGCTCTATGGATCCTTAAGGGTTCAGTCTTAAAGGTATAAACTGTTACATTTATGATGTTGATTGATGTGGTAGACGTGTATGCAATCGAGTAAAGATTGTCGTTTTACTGAGACGAAAGTATATTTTTTTAGGTAATGTACCTTCCATGGATACCGCTTGGGATAGAAATCCGCCATCAAAAGCAGAGCGACCTGCACGGATATCTGGTTCGGTGGCAGCTGATTCTTCAGGCTCAGGTTCATGGGAGTCTCTACATGAAGATGTCTCTGCCACTGGACAATCATTGCGACTTGATATGAACGACACTAACTGCCATATAAAGCAAAGCAGCAAGAAAAGCAACGGCGTTGCAAGATTGCCCCGGCTTGTACGACCAAAGCGACTAAATGATCCATTATCTCAGCTATCCAAGCTTGAGGGGTCTGCAGCATCTGCAGTCAGTAGCGAGAGTTCCGTAGCTCTTGCAAGTTCTGCCACAACTAATGCTGAAGCTCAAACTTCAATTCCGCTACCCCTAAAACTTGTGACGGCATTAGCGTCAAAAATATCTGAGCTTCCTTTGAAAGTAGTCACAGATGATCCAGCCAAAGTTGCGGAAACCTCCAATATCTTCCCGGAGGTTGTCAAGGAGCTACCTATAGCAGCTGAGCTTTCAACCGTTGCGTCTGAGTTTCCAGCGAAAGTTGTCGTAGAAACGGCACAAATATTGAAAGAACAGGTTGTGGATCCTGTTGTGGAGATTCTTCCAGATGCAGTTGTGGAGCAGGTGGGTGCAGTAGCTGAACAGGTAGCTGTGCTGCAAACTCAACTCTCTGGGACGGTGTCAAGGGCTGCAGTGCAGGTCAAGGGTGTAGGGCAGAATATTGTCAATCAATTTACTGATGGCGTACATGATTCATTGATAGACCATAACACCTCCATACTACGGCTTCAACAACAGGTGCCAAAGTAGTGTGCACCAAACTCACGAATATGGGTTGAAGCATCTATTGTTATTGTGCTCGGTGCAGTTGATACTGTTGAATATCAGTGCACTACCTTGTAGATACCTATATGGATTAGGACGTTCGTTTCATGCTATAGTAGTTCTCTTGCAATATCGTTCTTCGTTTTCTCTGAAAAGTGGCGTCATAGATTGGTCAATCCACCCAGAAATCATGAGAGTAACATGAAAGTATACAACTTTATGCACTTGCCTAATCATCCATTCTGAATCTAGTGTATCTATGCAATTCATCAGGTGTCGAATCAAGTGGACCAGGTTTCAACCAAGGTTTCTGAGCAGGTCTCTGAGGTGTCGAACCAGGTTATAGAGTCGGTCTCTAGTACAGCCGCTCAAGTATCCGAAACTGTAACGGCAACTGTTTCAGATGTATCGGAGACTATGAGCACTACAGCTGCCCAAGTGACAGAAACAGTTCAAGCCACAGCAACGGCAGTGTCATCAAAGGCAGCTGAAGTTTCAAGCTCAATTGTAGACTTCCTAATAAGCGATGACGATGACACCGACAGCGATGACGAATTTGAGACATTCAAAACATCCGACTCACCTGAGTTTCGGGGCATGCAGGGCTTAAACAATTTTCACATATTGCAGCAGGATAGCGGAATATTCTCTGAAATCTATGACTTCTATATCTACATGCTTAAGAAGCCTTTGCCTGAATTCGCATGTGCAATGTTTGCGGCACCCGTTCTTTTGAGTGTCGTCTTCACATTCTTGTACTTGCCTGATGTGAAGGGGCTGGCCTTGGATGATACAGCTCGTAGTTTTTTTTCTTCAGATTCACCTGGTAAGTCGCTTGCTGTCATCGTTTCTAATATCATTTACACTTTAATTTGTTTCCTAACGGTATGTTGCAGTGGTTATTTATTGGTTCTGGGGTTTCATTTACAACATCACACCAAGGGGTTGACTGTAACACGTTTCAATCTGGGTTTGTTGGACATGGGTGCTGCATAACATTACATTGTGTCCTATGCAGTTTCTCAGTGTCGATATGACCGAAAAGCATTGAATGAATCTTGTGCTAACGGTAGTGTTTTCATTCCCTTTATTTTTGGTTTAACAGGAGAAGCGACCGCAACAGGCCTTAGTTTATCATGGGACACATTGTTTGTAATCTTCATGTTTAGTCTCTCTCTTTCTACTGGGTTGCAGCCAGAGATAGCCCCCCTCTCTCCTTATACGTTGGTGCTTGCCAACGTCAACGCACTTTTCGCTCAGCTCATCTTCGTGTTTCTTAGTGGTGCAGGTAATCACAGCTTAGTTTAGTAGTTTCTTCATGTGTTGTCGCCTATGAGCTACTGATGTATTTTATGTTAATGATGCACAAATGCGTTTGGAGAACACCAATTGATTCCTGTGCGTTGCAGTGTTTGCAAGGTTGTCGCAGCCTTCACAACCAGTAAGATGTTCGACAGTAGCATTAGTATGCCCATCTCTTGCTCAGCGTAAACGGAGGGTGGATAGCTCAGCCACCAAGTAAGGACTTCGATTGTATTTTGTGACAACTTTCTGATTTTGATTTTGTTACTGTTTGATGAACTTTCGCGTTCTATTTGCAACGACTTTCTACTTCCCGTGAGAGCATATTTGTGTCAGAAGGTATTGGGTTAGCATTTTTTGAACTTATTTCAATTATACAATTTTACAAAAGTAGATGCTAGCATGTAAATGTTCCTGAAAATCGCTCATACGCTTTCTCTTGATCCATTGCAGAGTTTTGATGGCAAGGTATGTTTTGGCTGGGCCTCAACCCTGTGAACTTGTTGATGTCAAAGTTGACTTGACTTACAAGTACAACACTTTAACAAGATCTGGGTCTTTCTTCCGTGCCACTCAATCTTTGAAGCTGGTAACAATTCCACAATCGCCATGATCGTGCTTTTTCATATATATTACATTGCTTTTCGTGTTTTCTTGGTTTCTTTTTCTCTTAATGTTAACGAGGCACAAGCAACATTGTACTCCAGAGCTAAGAATTTCATTGCGTTATCATGGGGTGGTACATGGCACCAGGTGCGGTCTGAAATTGCGTACTTAAACCACGGGATGCTTGTTCGTCACATCATAGATGAAACCAGTCCGTTACACAGAAGAACACCTGAAATGCTCCGCCGTGAAGATTCCATTTTTACTCTAAGTGTTGTAAGTTTTGGTCAGAATCACTGCATTGAAATTTGAGCTTCATGCTGGGGTGCTTTTTTTTGCCATCTATTGGATATCTTGAATTTACTGGTGACCAGGTTACGAGGCTGTCATTCTGGATTTGAAGTAAAATTCATATGGTTTTAAGTTCTAATAGTCAAGTAACGCATTGCAGGTGGGACTGGAGAGATCATCAATGCAATCTATATTCCATGTACAACACTACTGTGTTTGTGATAATCACGTGATTTGGGACGCAGAATTTGAGGACATGATGCTTATTAACAAAAAGAATAGGCGTATTATAGACCACAGCAAACTTAGCCATTGGCGTTCTGTATGATCTAGTCTTGACTAAGGGGGAGCTCACGTTAGAAATATTTCTATGAGATTAATCTTCTAGTTAATTTTTCCTTGAACTCTATTTTTTGATAATTTAAACCAGATAACCCTCATCGTGGTTGGACTATAGTGATTCCGCTTGATGGGCTTAGTTGCACCAAGGTCTGCATTGAATTCTTAGTGGAGAGGATAACAAGGCTAAGCCTCATTTCAGATTCTTCCGGACTGCAATATGTTGCAATATCGATTGTAATTATATCAACGTTAGGTGATTTAGAACTGATACCAGAACACTAGTTAAAAATTTGTGATTACTTTGAAGTCAAATTTGTAACATGGTCATTGAATGATTAAAGTAACAACTAATTCAGCATAATGATTGGATCGGTCTAAAAATACAATTTGACACATGTTTTTGTATTTTTAATAGCCATGATTATATTTTATTTCTAATTTCCATTTCTAATAGCCATGATTATATTTTATTTTTACTTTCTAATTGTAAAATCAGAATGGCCATACTTGCACAATCATAACTAATCTAGATAAATTATTTTATAAATATGAATACACTTTTATGAATCTTCATAGCATGATTTTAAATAATTTTTTAAATTTTAAATGATTAAAAATTATTTCTATTTGAATACAATATAATGTTTAATATTATATTTAGTTATAGTTGTAAAAAATATGTCTAATTTTATCACTAACTCCAGAAGTTTCTTTTTTGAATAGATCCATTTCTCATGTATCTACAAGTATAAAAAAATAAAAAAAGACTCATGAAAGTCTTATCGTCTATTAATAAGAATAATACGTGAGAAATATAACAATTTTTGAACATATAAGATACATAGAAAGAAATTAAAAAAGAAATAGCAATACAAAACTAAAAAAAGACATGGCTATATTTAAAAAATAAAATATAATCATCCACAAATATAACTTACAAGTCATGTAAGTTAGAAGAATATTGATTGTACACATGGTAAAGCAATAGGTTTACTGCCATTCTAATTTTTCATTTTGTAATTGTTTAAATCAAGTTGAATGATTATAATTATGCTTTAAGCCTCACATCAATTTGAAACTTTACATAAAATGAAATCAAAATATGAGATTTTTTCAAATTAATCATAAGAGTTATGTAGATTTTTAATAGATTGTATAATTACTTAGTTAGTTATAAAAAAACACTCAATTTTAGTTAGTAAAGACAATATATCATATATAAATCTACCCAAAATTCTAACATTTTTAGACATATTAAAACATTTGAAATTTAAAACAGCTTAAGTAGATAGTTTGTTTTATGATAAGAATAATTTGTTTAAGAAAAGAAAAATGCTTTTATTTTTACATATTTAAGTAAATCGTGCGTGAAAAAATTGATTTACTTTTAAAATTACACAAGTTGTCTAAAATAATATAAAGACAAATCAAATAATTTTACAAAGAAACACATTAAGCTTCTTCAATTACACCAAATTAAATATTCTCTATGTCCTTTATATATTTTTAAAATTTTAATTCTTAAAATTAGATATAGATTTTTAAAAAAAAATCTAAATATCATTTTTTTAATAATTAAATTATTATATATCTCAAAATTTAAGGAAGTATCATTACCAATAATGTTTTAATTAATTCTTAATAATCCAAAATTAGATACATGTATAATGTAATACAATATATACATAAAACATAAATATATGAATACCAAAAAATCTGTATTCTTTATAAATACAACCTAAAATGATGCACAATGAAAACAAAAAGAATGCTATAATTTTTTTACGGATACAAGTCAAGAAAAATTGAATTATTTATGTGCATACACATTTTTTTTTAAATAACAATTTCATTCTAATTTTTTTTTCCACTTTAGAATATAATTCCCATCTTGAATAGGTGCAAATTGAAGAGATTCTTTTTTAAGCAAATGTACTGGCTTTATTAGCACTTCCTCTCTATAACCCGATTCTTCAACTTGTATTGCCCAAATCCACTAATGCTAGATGTAAAAAAACAATTTCCTCATAGCAACATCCTTACTAACCTTATTGAACATCTCCTTATCAAATTTGCTTTTTCATCAAACGTATTGTTCAAAACTTCATTAGTTTTCACAAGTTTTGCAAAAAATGAGCATCGTCACAACAAAGACCATCACAAGAAGAGGAATGCATTTGCCGTTTGTGAAGCGGACTGCCATTGATCTAGGATCCGCAACAGCTGCAATAGAAACTGCATCTGGAAATTGGGGCTACATTTGAAAGCTCCAGTTCAACTCAAACATGCCCACCGTGCCATGTAAAAATGTGCACTTCACATCATATCAGATGATCTCCTTTGATTGGTAATGCTGGCCCAGAGCAAGAGTCTAGATGTTTTGCTTTTGTGTATGAGAAAGATAGAAATCGTCCCGATCTTGTGAAAGATAGAATCGGTGATTGTTGTGTTTGATGGACAAGGCTGATTAATGGCGTTGTTGCAACTATGAATGCTGGATCTCCTCGGTGGGGAGGGAGGTTTGGCGTTGCAGTGCTCGGGTCTTGAAAGCAGGGTGGAGCGTTGGAAACTGATCCAGCTTTGCAGTTACAGTCGCAGTCGACGTTGTCGATTTTCTAGAAATCGCCCCAATGCGCTCCAGTGAGGTTCCCGATCCAATGCGCTGCTCCCATATACTTTCTGCTGTTGTGAGTGGCTTTTGAATTGTGGGTGTCGTTGAACCGTTTGTCCTGCGAGGTGCTCAGGGAAAGTGCCAATCGTTTATTAGTGATCATAAGGCAGGATGTTAGTTTGACTGTGCGAAGATGTTGTTGCAGAGGTAATGACCAGGAATTCTGCGAGAGGTTCACCTTTCAAGAGTCCCTTCTTCCATCTTGACTTGAGCTGATGGTGATGGTGACGCACCCTTGGGACTTGAGGTGTAGGAACGGCGTGACGCATCGATTCGCTGACCGAGGCGGGATTTGAAATGGAGTATCAGGCTGCTGCTACTTGGAGGAGTAGCTTCATTCGCATCGCTTGCACTTGACGCTGCGCTCACCTTTAGCCTTTGCTTCGCGTCCTTGTGCCATTGTCGCATCACCCGCTCCACATTCTTTGATAGCACCGCTTTCTTGTAGCTGGTGCCCATCTGAGTCACTAGGGCATATAGCGGCACCGTGCTGTAGCTGGAGAAGAGCAAGACAACCAATCTACACAACCAGGTTTACTCTCAAATGAAAATTTGGTCACCTGAGCATTCAACTACAAGAGCTCCAGAGGACGCTCAGAATTTCAAGCCTAAGATTAGGTGATTTGAAGATGGGCATACCCAATTGCAAGGCGGCCGAAGATATAGCCCCTGTTGTTCTCCAGAAGGCAGGATTGGTACCCGAATTGCCACTGAAGACGCAATCTAAGGGGTAAGTTGTATCAACGACGATGATAGTACCAATCAAAGAATGAATGCCACAGAATGAATTTGATGTGTTGCTGCATCGAGCACTACTCGGGGCATGCGAGGAACGGCGGTTGCATTTTCATGAGTGGGAAATGTACCACATGCCAGATGAAGGTGGCCAACTCGAATGCAGTTTCGAAGAGAACCAAGTGGATGATGGAGAGCAAAAGCTTCGGCCGGTTAAACCAGAAGAGCTGGTCACGCGGATGCAGCAAAACGCCCACCAAGGGGGCTGGAACGCCAGTATTCTCCAGCGCGAGGGTGGCTACCACATGCTGCAGCTTCGTTCCTATGGCGAAAACCACCTATGCATCCACAACATATTAGTTCATGAACCAGAAATGCTTCTGCTCACGATATCGCTACGGGAACACGCACGCGAAGGACGATAGAAATCTAATTGCAGCACTCACCACTACGGGCACAAGCGACGTCCAAAAATGCAGCCGGGTCCCTGTTGAATTCGATTGCCACGTTCCAACAGCACGATGCGGATTCAGTTTTGTCGTGGAGTTCAAGAATGCATCAATCAACACAGCGAGTGATACGTCACAGCAGAGTAATTGAGGAGTTTGAAATGGGATACTCGATATCCTTACCGTCAACGTTGAGCAACCATATGAGGATCACAAACGCCCATAGCCAAGAACTGGAAACAGAGAAGAATAAGAAGAATCACATCCTCTTAGTCCAGACATAGTTTGAAAGCACGTAACCAGGTGAATTGAACTAAATTCAAAGCTGGCGTTCGATTGAAATTGATCATGGATCCTGTGCCGTTACCTGATGCCCACAATGGTTTGAAATTCATCTTCTAGGCTCCGAACCATATAAGCGTGGAAGTCGTACAATTCTTTATGGTTATGTGCCTGCAAACGGCATGGGTCAAGAGAGAAAGAATGAGTGAATTTCTCAAACATAACTAGACCTCGTCCTGGACAATGTTTAGATCACTTACAGTAATGAAGCTGAGACGAAGAGCCGGGTAGTCTGCGCGAGGAATGTACAGATCCTGAACGAAGCAAACCTGAGATTACGAACCATAATATCGAAGAGAGAATTGTCAGGTAAGTTGTAATCGTTCGGCAGTTGCAAGATCATTGGTACTGTGATTTGATGATCTACATTCCTTGCAGAAAACTGCAGATGACTATTCCCCTCAAGTGACAAACTTGTCCAGACGAGAGGACTTACCATCCACACGATGAATCTTGACCTGCTCCTAGGCTTCGATGTGTGGTACCGCACAAGCGTAGACTGGCGAGTATACTTGATACTCTGCATCAACTCTGCGTGAAATCCATGTCAGTACCGAGCACACCCAACGATTTCGTGGATTCATTCTTCTTAGAACGGGATTAAGTGGGCTATAAGACAGATTTGTAAATTAGGTGCGAAATTGGGTGGATTTACTCACCTTCCGTGGTAGCTTGCTTCACTGCGTTGTGAGCTTCTTTCTCCCACTTTCTCCAGCGATACACCTGTCACGAAGCAGCTGGACGCTTATTTCGTGAACTCGCGTCTGGAAACTACAAGATTCAAGACTTTGCATGTGAATTTTTTTGGTTGCGTTGGTTGGGAGAAGACGAGACTAACAAATACCTTGATGAGAGCAAGGACCATGGTTAAGCATGAATAAATCACGTGGACCAGAGCCAGAACGAATATGAAAATGTGGAGCTGGTGGAGAGTGTTGGGGGAGATGAATGGCTCGTATCCCTGTTGAAGTTTCCACGACAGAAGAACACCATCGAAGGGCATGGAGTCAGTTACGATGATGAAAATTCTTTTGATTCGAAGCAATTTTTCTTGTGGGAAGTTTTGTCCAGAGTTTTCTGGTACCGGACTGCAACTGAAGCTGTTGGATCCCCCCGAAGCCAGAAGCCTCCTGTGATGTTCCTCCGGAAAATCATAATTGGTCGTCGGTTTCGCATTTGGTGTTGCGGTTGCTGTTGCATTCTTCCGCCTTTTTGAGACGCGGCATGGCGTCCATTTGTTGTAGGCCGAGGATGGCACGCAAACTTTCGACACCGGATCTTGCAATATCGTGATGGTCAGCGAGATAAATCCCATCAACATTAATTCTGCATTCAAAGGTATTCGGTCATCAATTTACATCCAGAATTCGACTATCACGTGGTTCGTGAATTAAAATTGACTCCCAGAGTTCAGGTACACTCAAGATGGAAAAGGAAGCATGGCATGGTCTTGGGAGTGTCGAACAACGTCTAAAAGAGAAAACTGGCCCTGATGTAAGCTGACTACTCACCATCCTTTATTTTCTCCAGGGCTGCGTGCAGTGGCTTCCGTTTCTTGTCCCTCAGATACTGCAACCACGACGAAAAACAGTGACATCCACCGATCACCGCAGGGCAAATTCAATGGTATCACGCATGTTCTGCTCGATTGATTGAAGCATTAGACAACTGCAATTTCCATTCGCCAATTTAGTAGGTGGAGAGACGTAGAAAGAGACATCACGACGTACTTGACTAAAGGCGTGCAGGGAACGGTCCACTGCTACGGAGATGAGGACGAAGACAGTGGCAACCGTGGCCAGTACCCACGATGGAGTGAACTCCAGCGTTCTCACTGAACTGCTCTACTTAGCCATGATGCATCGGGTAGCGCAACTTCCGTGTCTTCTAACTAACCAGATATTCGAAAGATCAGTTGCCTCCTCACGCACATTGCATACTGGTGTCGGTCTCCAAATGGCTACAATGGGCAACCTGATTCGACCTAAAAATCCCGAAATGTGAGCCCTCTCGACTGGGCACTATGTAGCCGGTGCCGCACATCCCCCATTGCAGTATCCGCATCTTCGAACGGATTCTAGACTGATCAATCGAGTTCACGAACTTGAAAAGCGACTTCCCAGCTCATCAGTCTCGGATGGAGTCGTTGTCCAGGTTTGCGGTGCCGATCAGACCATCAACACCACATAATTGAACAGTCCACACCAAAAAATTCGCCGCAGAGTCGTATCACCCTCGGAAATCAAGCATCATCATTAATTCGCGCAATATGTTTTAGACCACAACATGCAATAGGAAATTTACAAATCGGCTTCTGATCAGGCAATCAGACAACCGTGAAGTCCCCAACGAACAAATCTAATGGAGCAGACATAAGGCGATTAACTAGTAAGCACCGCTGCATCAGATCACATCTAGCAGCCGTCGAACAGAAAACAAATGTCTATCAGCTTGCTTTTAAAGCAAGGTCTGCTTCAAGCACCCACAGAAGCGTCCGCATGTTGTCGACGGAGTTCCGAATTTGCACGCCGAGAAGTAGTTTAGTAACGGATCCCTGTCAAGCACTACCACCATTACTTCAGCATCCTAATATTCTACTCGAGCCATAATTATAAAAGTGCACACTCGGAGGAACTGCCGTGTTTTCTTGAAGATTTTCGGGGCCAGCTTTCCAGGACCAGAGGACCCAATCAAGAGACTTATGTCTGAACAATCTCATGGGTCTCCCAAAAAAAACCAGCAGGAACTCTCCTGCACTGCTCGCCAGTGCATTCCCAGCCTCGAGACCAGAGTCAAAACAAGCGAGATCGACATCGCATCCATTCTTGTCGAGGTCACGCCGGAACAACTACGATCATTCCCGGGGCTTTCTCCGCCTGATGTGCCCATTCTCAACACCATTCCCTGCTCCACTTCGACGATGGAATCTGCGCACGTGTTTCCACCATACGCAGTTGATCCATGCAGGTACTGTTGTAAGCGATCTCCGCGCCACGATTAGATTTTACCTGCGCCTCCCACTCGAAAACGCCAACACGGAGGAATGGTCAGATATTGGAGGTCTCGATTACCAAGGCGGTTGATTCTTGTAGCCACGAGAATGTGAGACGGAGCTGGAGCTTCTCGCACCTTCGTAATCGTTGGGGTTTCTCGGCGTCGATCTGAGTTCGATGACGATCGGAAGGCTTTTTTCTAGACGCCAAAGCGACGCTCCGCCGTGATGGGAGCGGGCCAAGGGGCCGGATCTTCATTGACTCTTTAGGATTTGGTCGACGTTCGGAAGAACAAAAATGGAAATGCATAATTATAATTAGGAGAATATTAAATAGACCCATGTTTTTATTAAATAGTAATCATGATGACTGTAGTTGGTTTTTATTGATTGCAGATCCAATAGTGGAGAAATGAATTTATTGATTGTAGATCCAATGGTGGAGAAATGAATTTAGAGGCCATTTTTTTTTTACATATTGGTTAGGACAAGTGGGTTGATTTAATAAAAACTTGGGTCTATTAAACATTCCCCTATAATTATAATAATTATAATTAGACACGATGTTGGTTTTTACAATCTAACTATTTTTAAGTTCCAATCTCCAATTGGGAGCTCTCTATTATTGTGTGATTGAATGCTACATTGTATGTTTTAAATTCAACTTATTGGTTCTCTTGATATTGAAACTTTGTTAACAAGAAGTGACACAAGGTGCACAATGTATAGCTATTATAATCTTTGATTATGTTTAAGGTCATAAGAAATTTGCAATTTATTTGAAAAAATCAATACTTTATAATTTAAAAATTTATATTTCTTTGTAACTATGACTAAATTTTTTCATATTTTTTGTCTACTTGTTTCAAAAACATTGTACAAAATTTTACATTTTACATTCCAAATCTTGTTTTATTAAATTAATATCTAAAATTAGGACATTCTAATTTTAGAAAGTAATTGTTTATTTGTTCTTTAAATTGAATAAAAAAACAAAAACAGTAATTAGTTTTATTATGAAGAACAAGTGAAATCTAACAACTATCTTCTATTACTAATATTTTATCCTAAATGATAAAGTAGAAATTGTCTTTGTATTAGAAAGTTCTATATGACTTTGTAGTGCCATATATAAAAAGGTGTTGAATTATGTGGAGAATAAAAATCAATTTTTTTGAAAATAGAATTCTCATAGAATTTCCAACAAAAAAAAATTATAAGTTCAAAAGTTATTACAAGTGGAACTCTAAATTATTCTTGATTGTTAACTAAATTGCTATTTAGTTTTGAATTTTTTTTTTAATGTGCATGTAAATGTCAAATATAATAAGAATATAAATTGCTTCATTAATTACATTAGGCTAGAAAATTTATATCCTATATAATAGTAACCATAGAGATACATATGACAAGCTTGTGATTAAAAGAATCTTATAAAAGATGCAATAAATGAATTTAAAATAATTAAGTTTAATTCTTAACAACTTTTATATAACTTAGAAAGCTTATGTATTGTTAATACAAAATAAATTACTAAAAATATATTATTGTTGTTTATAACTAAGGTATTGCATCTAATGACAAAGTGGCTTATAGCCAAGTATCCTTGGTATAAAATTATTTAAAGATTTAATCTTGTTGTATTCACCTATGTAAATAAATCCTTAAAGTTTAAAAAGCAAAGCAAGTTATGGAAAAATGCTAAGCTCTATTTGTCATTGTTCCTAATAGAAGATAACAATCTATCTCAAGAACTATGTGCTTGTATATAAAAATTGATTACACAATTTTATTGTAACCATTCCTACACCAATTCAATTATTTGAAAGTATACATGTATTTTTGAAATAATAGAAGTACTATTGGTTTCTTTTTATTAGAATCTAAATAAATGAAAAATAATAAGTGATATTTGTTGCGGGAGCTTAAAAAAAACTAGACATCAAGCTCTTGATTATGCCAATTATTATATTTTATACAAGATCCAAGTAATATTATAGTTTATAAAACCTCATTTAAATAAAAAAATAAAAAAAAGAAAAAAAAAAGAGATAAGAATTTGATTTGTCATCTTTACAATTTGCTTTAGAAAATTTGTTCTTATTTACAATATTGTAGCTAGTTCAATGATTGACTCTAGTTATTATCATATCAACTACTTCTTGTACAAAATGTTACATGTATTTCAATAACCAAAAGCAAGTAAAGTAAATGTTAGTGACATTACAACTATTGCAACAAGAAATTTCCAATAATAAGTTGTTTGTAAAATATTTTTTATTTAATTAAAAAATAATTAGGATTTTTTATGCTTAGTAAGTTTGGCTTCATGCTTAGTTAATTAGAGTATTTTGTTCAATTATAATGGCAATCAAATCATAATTACAAAATTTTAACTTTACAAATTTATTTATGCTTATGAATTTCAAGAGTAATATATTAATAAGGCTTTCTAATAAAAAAAATAAGAAATTCAAATTAGACATAAATATTGAAGTCTTAGTTCTATAAGGGTTTGATTTGTGTAGATACAAGAATGTGAAATGGAGCTAGAGCTTTTTGCACCTCCATGATCATTGGAGTTGTTCAACATCAACATGAATTTGATGTTGATTGGAAGGCTTTTCTAGATGCCAAAGTGGCACTCTAATATGAATGCTTTGACATGATAGGAGTGGCCTTAGGAGCAAGATCTTCATGGATTCTTTTTAGGATTTGGTCGATGTTTGGAAGAACAAAAATGGTCATGCATACTTATGATTAGGAGAATATTAAATAGACCAATGTTTTTATTGAATAGACCTTTTCTTTATAAATTTAATAATCATAATGAATGTGGTTGGTTTTTATTGATTGCAGATCCAATAGTGGAGAAATGAATTTAGAGGCTATTTTTTTATATTTTTTATGATGGTTAAGATAGATGGATTGGTTTAGTAAAAAATTGAGTCTATTTAAAATTCTCTTATAACTATTAATATTATAATAAGACATGACATTGGTTTTTACAATTTGACTATTTTTTAAGTTCTAATTTCTAATCAATAGACCTCTTTTATTGTGTGATTGAATGCTACATTGTATGTTTTAAATTCAATTTATTGGTTCTCTTGATACTATTGAAACTTTATTAAAAAGAAGTAGCACCAGGTGCACAAAGTATTTCTATTGTATCTTTGATTATATTTAAGGTCATAAAAATTTTGTAATTTTTTTAGAAAATCAATATTTCAAAATTTGAACATTTATGTTTCTTTTTAATATTTATTTTTATGTTTTTTTCTATTTTTTAAAAAAATTGTAAAAAATATTAGATCTTAAATTTTAGATATTATTTTAATATATATATATATATATATTCATTTATTTATTTAAAATAAAATATTATATTTTATCCAAATATAGTCAAAGTGAAAGAAAATAAGAAGAAAATATAATAATAATATAAAAAAAACCAATAAAAAAATGATAGCATAGTTAATTATATTTAATTTTAAACTTTTCAAAGATTTTGGTTAATTTTTTCTTCTAAAAATCACTTTGTATAAGGTGTTATTAGGTAACATAGGGGGTATAAAGTATATTCTCTGATTTTATTATTTGTGATAAGTAATTCTAATTTTTGATTATAGAATTAAATAGAAAATCAAAAATATTAGTTAGTTTTATTATGAAAAATAAGTTTCATACTAACAACCATCTTCTTCAAATAATGATTTATTTCTAAGTTGATAAGTAGAAATTGTCTTTGTATTGGAAAGTTCTATATAATTTTGTAGTGCCATATATAAAAAAATGTTGCATTAAGTGGAAAATAAAAGTTAAATTTATTTAAATAGAGATCTTGTGGAATTACCAACAAGGACAATCCATAAGTCAATTTGGTCTTTGAACAAGTTCAAAAGTTACTACAAGTGGAAATCTAAATTATTGTTGGTTGATAATTAGGTTGTGATTTAGCTTTGCAAATCTGTTAATGTGCATGTAAATATGAAATACAAAAAGAATACAAGTTTCCTCATTAATTATTTTACACTAGAGAATTTATTCTCTATATAATAAAAATCGTATATATATATATATATATATATATATATATATATGTGATAAGTTTTTGATTAAAATAATCTTGCAAAAGATATAATAAATTCATTTAAAACACTTCAGTTTAATTCTAAACAACTTTATATATATCTTAGCAAGCTTATATATTGTTAAAATAAAGATTATACTTTAAAAAGTATTATAGTTGTTTGCAACTAAAATATTGCATCTAATTGAAAAATAGCTTGTAGCCAAGTATCCTTGATGTAATAATATTTATAGGTTTTACCTTGTTGTATTCATCTATGTGATAAATCCTTAAAGTTTGAAATGGAAAGCAAGTTATGCATAGATTTATCACGCTCTATTTGTAGTTGTTTCTTATAGAAGACTACAATCTATCTTAAAAACCAAGTGATTGTGTATAGAAATTAATTGTATAATTTTTTTGTAACTATCCCTATATCAATTCAATAATCTGAAAATATAAATTTATTTTTGAAATAGTAGAAGTACTATTGGTTTCTTTTTGTTAGAATCTAAAGAAGAAAAAAATGACAAGTGATGTTTGTTGTCAGAGCTTAGAAAGAACTAGACATCAAACTCTTGATTATGTCAATTATTATATTTTGTACAAGATCCAAGTGATTTTATAGTTTGTAAAACAAGAAAAGAATTTGGTTTGCCATCTTTACAATTTGCTTTAGAAAATTTGTTCTTATATACAATGTTGTGGCTAGTTCAATGATTGATTCTAATTACTAATATATCAACTACTTTTTATGTAAAATTTTACATGTATTTGAATAACCAAAGGCAAATAAAGAATATGAAAGTCACATCACAACTATTACAATTGGAAATTTCCAATGATAAGTTATTTGTCAAATATTTTTTATTTAATTACAAAATAATTAGGATTTTTTTATGCTTAGTCAGTTTGGCTTCATGCTTATTTCATTAGATTGTTTTGTTTACTTATAATGGCAATTAAATCATAATTAAAAAAAATAACTTTACAAATTTATTTATACTTGTGAATTTCAAGAGTTATATTATGATAAGACTTTGCAATATTAAAATAAGGAATTCAAAGTAGA